ACTCACAGTCCTGTAGTAGTTGCTTCTCTTCTCTGGCAGCAGGGGGCGACCTCACTCACTCAGCGTATCTGTAGTGCCACTCCCCAGTGACAGGGTCCTGTTCAAACAGGGCCGGGATCCAGTCCTCGCACTTGGCCTTCCTCTCCCGGGCCGACTTCCTCTGGGCCTCCTCCAGGATGAACTTCTCGTTGGTGGCGTCCGTTTGGTCCTTGTTGTTGATGGCCCGGGTCACGTGCTGCCACAGTCTGAGGGACAGGCAAAAGGTCAAGGTCAAGGTCAACATGCATGACCTCAGGTGAAGAAGCTCCGATCAGAACCGGAACGTTTCGTCGGTGTTCTCCGTGTCAAAGATCACCTCTCGGACTCAAACTCTCCCTGCTCCTCCGGAGGAACGGTGCAGCGCGTCAGTCGACTCTGTCTCAGTTCTGGCGTTGGGTTCCAGAACGTGTCCATGGTCCCGGTCTTCTTGTCATTGATGAAGATCTCACTGTCCTGTAGGTGGCGTCAGAATCATAGTTAGTGTTGTTGATCCACGTGAAACAGTTTTAGTTTCTCACATTCAGACCACTAGGTGTCACTGTGACGTGTCCTTATCAGCTGTTTTTTTTTACAAAGGCGTGGATAGAGAAGGGGGGGAGGGGTCGGGGGGGGGACTGATACCCTGATAGAAGACGAAACCTGTTGAAGGTTCAACTACTCCTGGATTGTCAGGATATAAAAAACTTCAAGACGAGAACGTTAGTGTCGACTGACAGAAGGTGAAATGAAAAAAACCAAAAATAAAACTGTACCCAGTGTCCTTCCAGTGTGGCCAACACCTCCTTCCCCAGCTTTATCTTCCCAGAGATCTGATTCAAGTTGTCACTGCTGCCCAGGAACGGCTGTTGGACAGAAGGAAGAAGAAGGAAGAAGAAGGACGGAGGGAGAGAGAGGAGGCGTTACCAGGAGGCGTCACCAGGTGGCGTCACAGTGAACGCGGTGAGTCTTTGTTCTCCGACTCTCCTGGAGAACGTGTGGTTCTACCTTCAGTTTGAACTCCAGCTGAGCGCTGTAGCCCGTCTTCTCACAGGTGATGGTGATCTGCCCCCCCAGCTCCAGAGTCATGGTGCCGTAGAGGATACCTGGGGGAGACGGAGGAAACGACCAATCAGCACAGAGAGCTGAGACAACGTCCTTCAACACCAACAGGTCAGATTACACAGAATAATCCGGATTACCAACCCGTCCTCTCACCTTTACAGTGGGCGTAGGGCATGTTCATGACGTAGTCCTCCCCTCGGTTGAGGAAGGTGAGCCGAGCCTCCCCGTCCAAAATGGCCGACAGGGAGTTTCCTACAACAGGAACCACGTGGTCAGAGCAGCGGGGAAACAGAACCGCCGCTGACGGAGGTCGAGGTCACGTGACCTTTACTACGATGCTACGTGGGCGGTGCGTTCTTACCGTAGAACTTGGACTTGGCCAGGATGCTGCCACTGAGGCAGAACCCGTCCTTCCTGTTGCTGACGTAGAAGGCTGAGACAGGAGGATGATGGGAAACCTGGGGACGCAGAGTGAACATGTGACCTGGGTGTGAAGTCATCAACACCAACCAAACACTGAGTTATGATGATGAAGATGATGATGATGAAGATGTAGAAGACTTCAGACAGAAGTCACTGATTATCAGAGAGAACAAAACGTTTTATTTTGAAAAGTCAGTGGATTCCTTCCCTTTCACTAAAGTCTCTGAACACCTGTCAAAATAAGAGTTTATACAAAAACTGAAAATGTCCATAAATGAGACGGAAGACTTTAAGACTTTGACCTTCAAATAAAGAATGTTGACTCTAACCCACAGGTCCGTCACCACCGTGTTATTTTGTGGTGTTTGAACCTTGAACTCTCAGCTCACCTGCTCGGCGATGTAGAAGGTCTTACTGTTGGTCCTCTGGTGGAGCCACAGGCAGCGGAACGTCTCTCCGATGATGGGGTTGTAGGGTTTCTTCAACCCCTGTGAACCGACACACAGTACCATGAAGTACAGAAGTACGTGGAATACACAACAACAGAGTAACAAACGCCCCAGAGCACCAGTGACCTCTACTGACCTTTGGCTTTTTGTAAAACCCTGAAATGTACCACTTCACCACCTTCTTCATGCGGTTGTAGGCGTTTTCTTCGACGGCAGCACTGAGGAGACAGCAGAAGAAGAACGCACCACTGTCACTGGACCATCCGTCCATCTGGTCTGATTTCAGACTCGACCCGGAGGTCGTTCTTACTCTGACAGGAAGTCCGCGTGGAAGTAGTAATCTGACAGTTTGTCCAGGAAGGACCTGGGCTCCAGGATGAAGGTGGGCAGCACCACCTTGGACAGGTCCATCCCCGGCCGGACCTGCTTCAGCAAAGTCCAGATCAGAGATTTGTTCTCCTCCGACACCGTCTCTGTCTGGGCCTCCTCGCCAGCCTGGTGACACACAGTGGACAAGAGTGGAATTACACCGCTGCTGATGACAGACTGGAGTTTCTCATTTTAATTATTCAGTTTCCTTTTCCAGGAAAAATATCAGTTTTTTTTAATCAGTGTGAGAGATTTTAAAATAGTCACATTAGGACAAACGGTCCCTAAAAAGACATTTGTTTTGGATTAAAATCACCGTTAATCCCTGCTGACATTTTCAACATCCTGTCTTTGTCCAGACAGATTATCTGGCTTTCTAAAAAAACCCCCCCCAAAAAAAACCATCTGAACAAACTGAACTCTGTGGAGAAAACCCCAAAAAAAAACATCTGAACAAACTGAACTCTGTGGAGACGACACAGAGGACGCAGTATATCACAGTATATCACAGTATTTCACAGTACATCGTATCAGTATCAGTATTGACAGATTCCTGCCACTACACCCCCTAGTGTCCAGACTGTGTTCCTACCTCCCCCAGCTCCTCGTGGGACTGTTCCAGGTACGGTGTCTCCCACAGTTGGTCGTTAGAGTCCAGGTCGATGTAGGAGTCTTCCTGACGCTCCGAGGTGTCACTGTCGCTCTCCTCACTCTTCTCCAGACCTTCTGGGTCAGACTCCTCGTGGTCCGGCTCTCCTTCTCGGTCCGACTTGTCCGAGTACAGGTCCGGGTCCTTCAGATGGTCGCTGTCGTTGAACCTGAGAGAAACAAAGACGTGGAGTTTAACCGTGAAGAAGGAAGTGACGGAGACAGAACGTCACGCTCCACTCACTGGAACCCGTGGATGTTGTGGGCGCGGAGAAGGCTGTAGAAGTTGATGTGTTCTCCTCCTGCAGCTACGGAGCTCACGTCCTCCTTCCCCTCACGGATCATGGTCCTCTTCAACAGGCTGGAGCACTTCAGGGCCAGCTCCAGGGCGTCCATCCAGCACCGGCCTGATCATCATCATCATCATCATCATCATCATCATCATCATCATCATCATCATCATCATCATCATCATCATCATCATCATCATCATCATCATCATCATCATCATCATCATCATCATCATCATCATCATCATCATCATCATCATCATCATCATCATCATCATCATCATCATTATTTACATGGAGTTTTGTCAAAACTTCTGGAATCCAAGGTTAGGATGTTTCTAAAATCAGATGTATCTAGTGTGTACTTAACGAGTATTTAATTATTATAAGAAGTGAGGTTTTTTTTACACAAACCCATGATATATAAAATAACCACTTTTAAATATGTATTTTAACAATAAAAAAAACTTGTCAGAAAACTGTCAAAATATAAATGATTAAAATGGAGAAGTTATAACTGACACCATTTTTACTGTAGTTTCTGCTGAAGAGTTTCAGCACCATGGAGAGAGACTCCACAACAGGGAACGAAAAGTTTAAATTTTCAGCACCACGGACAGAGACAGATTTTCTATACTATGAAAGTCTGCAGAGTTTGTGGTCTTTAAGAGCGACTGACCCAGGGTCAGTATTCAGGTCTGGACTGAAGTACTACTACTACTACTACTACTACTACTACTACTACTACTAATACTACTTCAACTTCACTGTACGTCCATTTGAGGATTTAAAAAATAGATAAAAACTGTTCTTTAAAGAAGTAAATAAATGTGTTGAGATAAAG